TGCTGAGCATTTAGGTCCACTACTGCGTTTCTTTGTCAACTGTAGTTAATTTTCACGCTACAAAGTTTTAACATTCCTTGGCTAATTTCTCTCATGGTGGTTCTGTCCTCGGCATCTGCTAGAGGGTCAGTGTCCCCCGGGGAAACACTCCCCCACCGTCACTAGGACAGCTCTTAGCATCCTCCTTCCGACGATCAGGAAATTTTTTTTTTTTTACTGTTGCAGATATGTTTTTTATTAGCACATTCAGCTTATTGTCAACCAAGGTGTTCAACCCTAAAATCCACAGAGATCCCAAATCTTAATAACGTTGTTAAAATGCAAATTATATTATTTTCTCTTTATGGATTCTTAGAAACATCAATTTGGAGTTGTTTTTTTTTTTTTTTTAATTAAAGTATAGTTGACCGAGGAACAGGAATTAAAGTGTGTACTCCCTTTGGGATTTTTTTCTGATCCTTCAAAAGCTAGCATGTGCTTTTCTGCTTAGCAGCTGACTTCCATGTAAAGGCAAAGCTCATACTTTTTATCTAGTTTCCTTCTTGAAATTTCTCACTCCTGCACCGTCTCGGGAAGTCGGGGGCCCCTGGTAATAAAGAGATGGGAACAGCATTTATCGAACATTTAGGTGAAGCGGGCGTGTCACTTGTTCACACTCATCCACACCAAGACACTGACCATCCCATTTTACACATGGGAAAATAGAGCCCCAGGGAGCGTAACTGGCCCAGGGTCACGAGGCTGGGATTTGAACCTCACAGTCTGGTTCTAGAATCCACCCCTCTTGGCCCTAATAATAATAATGACAGCATAAAGCACAGCCACCGCAGCCTGTGTTTCTTACACACTCCTACTCCGGGGAGTGGCCCCAAGCACTAAATGACCGTATTTAATTTTTACATCGACCCATCACTTAGCCCTATTGTATGGATCAGGAAACAGGCCAGAGGCACAGGAGTGGGGAGGAGACTTTGGATGGGGCATTGCTGCCGGGAGCAGGAGGCTGGACTGCCGCTAGGTCCCCACACCACTCCACCCACCGCGCCTGCCTCCACAGGTGGATAGCGAGAAGGGAATCTCCCTCCGCTTCCCTCGGTTTATCTGCGTCCGTGAGGACAAGAAGCCGGAGGAGGCCACCACAAGTGCCCAGGTGAGGCCCGCGGTAGAGGGTGGGTGGTTGGCCCAGGGGGGGGCTTGCCCGGCCAGGCCTGCTTTTTGGAGAAGGTGGGCTCTGGCCTGGCTTGGCATGGAAGGGGGTGGGGCAGCCCCAGGGCTTCTGACCCTCCCACCATCCACCCTCTCGCTTCAGGTGGCCTGTCTGTACCGGAAGCAAAGTCAGATTCAGAACCAGCAAGGCGCAGAGCCAGAATCCGACCTGGAAGATTTCTACTAGGCCCCCTGCTCTCCCCGGGGGCTGGGGGCGGAGGGGGCCCAGGGGCGTCGGCCTCAGGTGCTCAGCAATCTGGTGTTGCTGGGTGTGGGTTTTGATAGTCAGGTGTGTGTGTGGGAGGGGATGGTTTCAGCCGGGGTCTGGGGTTCTGTCATTCCTTTCAATAAATAATTGTTGAACACCTGCTCTGTGTCCGTGCTGGGCTCTGGGGGTACAGCCATAACAGCTCACCCCTTGATAGCGTGAAACCAGGGCCTTGCAGTAGAACTCTCTGCAGTGATGGAAACGTGCCACGTCTGCGCTGGGTGGTGTGACAGTCACCAGCCACGTGTGGCTGGTGAGCACTTGGAATGGGGCCAGTACGACTGAGGACTCAATTTTTAATTTTCATTTAAATAGCCACATGTGCCGAATGGCTGTTTTGTTGGACAGTGGCCATCCAAACTCTCTATATTAGTTCCTTTAACCTCCCAGCAAGCCTACCAGGTGGGCACGTCGAGAGACTGTTTCACAGATGAGGAAGCACAGAGAGGGGAAATAGCTTCCCCAGGGCTGCTGCAGGCAGGACCACACCAGGCTTCTGACTCAGCAGTCTGGCTTCAGGCCCCACACCTTTCCAGGACGGTCCCCATCCCGTTGGGAGACTGTTAAGTGCGGTGACTTGTGTGTGAGGCTCCCACCTCTGCCACCCTCCATCTAGTGACCACACCTGGCCTCTGAATCCTCAGCACAGCTTTCCAGACCTGACCTGTGAGGGCAGGCAGTGGACCTATCTGTTTTCTCCATCCTTACATCCCCCAGCCCATAGCACAGTGCCTGGAGTATAGTCAGTGCTACTTTTCCTGATCAAAAAGGAGACCTGGTTGTGGCAGCCCTTCCTTTCTTCCTGCCCTGACTGTGGATGTGATGGTTGGTGCTGGGGCTGCCACCTTGTGATCATGAGGAAGGAACCAGGAGAGTCACAAGAGAAAGCTGCCCTGACAACCCTTAACCAGTGAACCAAGGGCAGCAGCTGCCTAACTGAGCTTCTTGTCCTGGGGGTGGGGTGGAGGTGGGAGAAAAAAATAACAAAATCCTGTTGTGATCACACCACTGTAAAAATTGGGTTTGTTTCTCATAGTTGAAAGATTTCTTCCTTAAAGGATTGGCAATTAATGTGCATCCATATTTATCAAGTCCAAATAAAACATTTAAGGCAAAATGTTTGATTAGGTGTTAAGTACTGTATGTCTGGGGATTCCAGTGAGTGACAGTCCAGCTCTGCATGGATCCCCACGGTTCCCTTAGGTGTGGACCGGGGTCTTCCTGAGGAAAGAGGGGCCAGGGACATGCCCTTCCTCCCCATGCCCCTGCAGGGCCCCTGTGAACACACTCAACCAGCCAGGGCTGCCATGTCCCTCTGCCAGGGCTGGGCAGGAATGTCCTCACTCATCAATGACGCTCATGACAACCGCGTTAGGTAGGTGCTTTTATTGTCCCTGTTAAGCAGATGAGGACACAGACACAGGGATGTAAGTTACTTTCCCCAGGTCTACCATCTAGGGAATGGGGGTCCAGGGTTTGGTCTGGGCAGTCTGCAAGAGACCCTGCACTCAGCCCCCAACTAAATAAAGTTCCTCGTGGCAAGCCCGGCCTGTGTGCCCCTGGGAGGGTGTGACCTTATCCTGCAGTCAGAGAAGCGACAGTACGGTCTAGGGGTGAAAAGATCATGCTGATGGCAGGATTTCGCAGACCCTGAAGAGATGAGCCTGGAGCTGAGGGGAGCAGCGGAGACCATATTCCCCCTGGTGAAATCCTGTTCCTCCTCCTAAAAATTGTTGGAACCAATCAAGGGGAGATGATTCTTGGAGCTGGGCTCTGGGAAGAGTCTGCAGGAGGGGAGCCAGGGAGGTTTGCAGGAGCAAAAATTCGTAATTGCATATGAATTGGAATGTGTCATCTTGGTTATGTTACTGATGATGTTCATTTTAATCAATTAAGAAAGTGTAGATATGGGAACATATGTATATGTATAACTGATTCACTTTGTTATAAAGTAGAAACGAACACACCATTGTAAAGCAATTATACGCCAATAAAGATGTTAAAAAAGAAAGAAAGTGTCTGCCAGGGACTTCCCTGGTGGTCCAGTGGTTAAGACTCCACACTCCCAATGCAGGGGGCCCCGGTTCGATCCCTGGTCAGGGAACTGGATCCCGCACGCCCCCAACGAAGATCCTGCACGCGGCAGTGAGGATCCCGAGTGCCGCAACTGGGACCCGGCACAGCCAAATAAATAAATAAATATTTTTAAAAAAAAAAAAAAGGAAAAGAAAGTGTCCGCCAAGTTTCCCCACTATAAAGGGACTGTCCTTTGAGATTAGTATTTTGTGAGGAGGTGCTTTGAGCTATGTAAATATCAAACTTTCCACTTATCTATATTTGTATGGACTCCTGGTTTCCTATTTATCCTATATAATTTGTTTTAATTTTCAAATGGCCAGTGGAACTTTTTCAGGCTGACCTCCGTGTTCTTTTGACATGCCGTCATAACTCTTTGAGCACATTCTTGCTTTATGGCACAACAAGATGTAAATTTTAGGCTCATCTTCTAATATTAACACTCGTCCTGCTGCAGACATGAAATCAGCCATTGCTTCTGGGAGACTTGGTTCCTATTTAGTGGAGAATGGTATTTAGAAGTCAGGATCTGGATGGTAGAGGTGTTCATTAATGCTACGGTGTCACTGCTTCTGTGTCCTCTTAGCTAGAGAATATATGTTCCCATGTCCCTACACACACAGTGACGTCTGTTGTTTCTTTGTATATCCCTGTCTGTAAGTTGAAATCCATGAGTATATACCAATCCCTCCCATTCCAATCCAACACCACAGAGCATTCTACCTTTTCCCCTTTCTATACTGTATTAGGAGCTTCCTTTCCCAACAGCGAGCAACCTGATTCCCATTAGCCTCAATACAATCCCACATGTAACCCATCTCCCTTCTCCGTTGCCATCCCACCCCTGTGGGGATGCCTTTCACGCCACCATCTGGCTTCATCACCCTACACCGTGCTGCCTTCACTCTGCTCATGGTGCAAACCTTTTCCCTAGGTGATGTGAGACTTGCGTGTAGATATCCTCGTCACCCAGCTCATGCTCCAGGATTCCACACCAGGCTGCTCTTCCGTGGGTTCCTCGGAAGAGGCCCTGACGCTCTGGGCGGAGCTACATGCCACCTCCACCCCCCCACCCCGCTGCCTGAGGCGGGTATAGTGGAAAGAATTGTGGCGACTCCCCCTTGCTCCACTCTCCTATTTAAGGTCTCGTTCCCCACACAGACGGCCCCCAGTCCCCTCCCCATTCCGTGCAGGCACCCTTATCGCCTCCTTGGCCTCTGACCACCCCCACCAGCATGGATGGCTACCTTGCCCCTCCCCCCTGAACTATGCAGGAAGAAAGGAAGGGAAGAGAGGAGCAAGAGGAAAGGCAAACACCCCCCTCGGAGCCACTGTGCATGTCTATTCCTGAAGTCAGGTCGTCACGCAATGTTTGCATTCTGCTCGTTTACACACATTCCTGGCTTACCCTAGAGCTCCTGGAGGCCAGATGTCCTCTCCAGCTTCACACACACAAAGGCCAGCAGAGGCCAGGCTTAGACCGATCACTCAACGTGCCTGTTGAAACACTGAATGAATCGATGCCCTCTGCTCTAATCCTCATTTTCAAAACTATCCTTCCAATTCTATTCTGGGGATAAAAGGTCAGAGCCTGATACTGGCTCCGCCTCCATTCTCAAGCCAGATGGGGAGGCAGGAACAACTGGGATCCCTCCCCAACCCGAGTAGAGATTTCTGACCCAGCTGTCACACAGCTCTAAGGGAGCCAAGGTGACCGAGGGAGAGGCCAAGAGAGGCAGGAAGAGTTGGCAAAGGAGTGGTAGAGAAGACAAGGAGGCTGAACCACCACGGGGGACAGGAAGGGGGGGAGCTGTCTTGAGATTGGCGCCTGGTGAGCTCTGCCCTGCCCCCTCCATGCAGTTTCCCATGGGCCCCGCCTGCATCTTCTTAAGAAAAGGCATCGCTGAGAAACAGCGGGTGAGTCTGGGGGCAATGAGGGAGGATGGTGGGCAGGGCAAAGGGAGCTGGGATGCGGGGAAGAGAAGGGACAATAGGGGAGCATCGTGGGGACACGTGGGTCAGTAAGATGGGTGAGGGTGAAATCAGAAGTCAGCACCAAAAGGTGGAAGATGAAGGAGAAGAAAAAGCAAAAGAAAAAGGAAAGGGGAACTAGGATGAGGTCATTGTTGATGATCATTATCATTCTTTTCTTTGACACCCATAGTGATGACGGTGGTGATGATGCTGGAGGTGCTGATAACAATAGATGCCCCTTTTTTTTTTTAAAGAAGATGTTGGGGGTAGGAGTTTATTAATTAATTTTTATTTATTTTTACTGTGTTGGGTCTTCGTTTCTGTGCGAGGGCTTTCTCTAGTTGTGGCAAGCGGGGGGCCGCTCTTCATCGCGGTGCGCGGGCCTCTCACTATGGCGGCCTCTCTTGTCGTGGAGCACAGGCTCCAGACACGCAGGCTCAGTAGTTGTGGCTCACGGACCTAGTTGCTCCGGGGCATGTGGGATCCTCCCAGACCAGGGCTCGAACCCGTGTCCCCTGCCTTAGCAGGCATATTCTCAACCACTGTGCCACCAGGGAAGCCCAGATGCCACTTATTAAGTCATCGCTGTGTGCTCAGACTTGTGCAAAGGGCTTTGCATTCCTGATGTCACTTAATCCTCAGAATGACTCATGAGGTTCATAATACTTTCATCCCTATTTTACAGACTGGATACTAAGGCTCTGAGTCATGAAGTCCCTTGCTTTAAGCTTATACAATTAGTAAGTGGCAGAGTCAGGTCTGTTTGATTCCAACGGGCATGATTTTTATTTTTATTTTTTTATTCTTTTTTTTTGCGGTACGCGGGCCTCTCACTCTTGTGGCCTCTCCCGGTGCGGAGCACAGGCTCC